GCCATGTGCTGAGGACCATAGAAGGTATTAAGAATACTGGCCATTGGGTACAGAATCTTTCTGAAGCTGAAAAGAAAAAGAAAGACTTTGTGGCCGACTCGCTTTCTCTTTTCATTTTAATTCTCTTTAATTTTACCCCGTCTCCTCACTTGATTCCACCTCTGTGCCTGAGATACAGTAAGCACTCAGTCATTCCCGAGAAGTTAACAGGAAATTAAATGTCACGTAATTTTTAGCCCATTATCTTCTCATTTGTTTCCAGTTGTGCTTTCCTTTCATTTTGTGTTCTCCGTTTGTCTTTCCTGTGTGTGTGTTTTAACTGCCTGTCTCCTCTCTTCAGCTTCTTGGAGCTGCCACTTGTTGGCTTCTGCCCACCTTGACTTGAGTCTTTGCCTCCACCTCTACAGTTTCGCCACCTTCAGCAACCCTGCGAAGTTTTCCTTTCCTTTTGCATCTCGTTCCTCTATTGTCCCAGGTCATCTTCCCCTTGTGCTTCTCCAGCCTTGGGCGCCCCCTGCTGTCCGTAGCCCCCGCAGGTGTTTTCTGGAGCTGAACAGACTGGTCCTGTCTTTTGAGTTCTGAGAGGGAAACAGTTGGGCAGAGACAGTGCTGGAGCCTGACTCATTCCCACTTTGGATGCTCTCCTCCAGGAAGATCTGGGTCGTGCCGTGTGACAACGCTGTGTGAGATTGGAGGAGACAGGTGATGGGGAGAAAGACACATTTGATTTCACTGTGTTCGCGTTGCCCAGGGACAGCTGTCATCACCTGCCCATCACTGTAATGGAGGGCATGTTACTTTTCTTCACTATGGATTAGAACCAATCTTATTTATCAGAAGGAAAAAAATACTTGGGCCTGTAAACACTTTGACCAGATGACAGATTTTTGCTAAAAGTTAGAAAGTGTTGTAGTAATGATATCAAATCAGTGGGCCTTGCTATCCTGAAAAAGTTTCAATAACTTGGATATCTTAACTTGAAGTTTTCATTTCCTAACTGTAAAATTCTGTTTTGGCCCAAGTCCAACCTGTATCTGGAGTTCTACATTAATTTCAAGTTGGATTGACCAAAGCATGCCTATTCTGCGCCCAACTCTTCTCTGCAGGGCACCGTGAACGCTACTAACAGCAAACAATAGCAGCAGCCCAACGCCGACCAGGTGAAACACCTGTGCGTTTACGGAGAGGATGCAGAACACAGGTCCACAGTTCTTAATCTGAAAGTTCTGAGGTTGGATGTTTCGGAATTCAGGTTTCCTTTTAAATTTGAAAAGGTTACAAGGCACATCCACTGTAGAGTATTGTAACATCTCCAGCTAGGTTTGGTGTGGAAATGACTTTTAACATGGTGAAATATGAATATTCACACTGAGTGGAGAAAATAAACACCAAACCTGACGTTAGGTCAGGCATTCAGACTTTTTGATTTGGGGAATTGTGCATAAGAGATTGTTGGGTTAGTTATAAGGTGTAAATTAAGTGTTAAAAGGAGTTAACTATGAGTCACATTCAGAATAAGGGAACACCGCTGTGGTGTCAGAAAGATGGGATTCTGTGGGGGGTTTGAAGGTACGGATGGAACTATCGTTTTGCTCACTGTCAAATCTTGGACAGCTAGACCGGCATCTGCCACATATTTGATGAGTAAGTATTTGACAGATGGGTAACTCGTGAAGAGAAGGGGAGGAACATTTCCAGGCAGAAGAGACTTCCACCTGAAGGTCGGAGGGAGTACATTTGGTGGTTGTAGGTGAGTCAGTGGTCTGCTCTGGTTAAGGCGAATACTGGGCCATAGTGGGTGTTGATGTGCGTGCGCCTTACACACTTGTCCTTGACTGATGGCTTACTCTGAAGTGGGGATGGAAGGAAGCTTAGGTCGTCAAAGTGGCAGAAAAAAAGGTGTTCAGAATGGGTTATGGATGGACATATGTCTCCTGCAAGGCGCCTTAATGAGTGTGGGTGCAGCTGATAGAGGTAAGGCTGCTGAAGAAGCTGAGATTACTCCCAGTTTAAAGAAAATGCAGATGTGGACCTTTTGAATTTGGAAAGTGGCAGGGAGGAAATCAAAGAAAATTTCAAAATCCTAATACTTGGTGATTAGAAATAGTGATCCCTTTGAAAGAAGGAAATTCAAAAGAGAAGCTGGAGAGAATGTGCTAAACCCACTGACATGACTTGGCATGTTGTATGAGTGGGTTATATTCTTTAAATGTCTTTGATGTCTTTTGTGTTAAGTGTGTGTGTATAAATTTAAAGCATGTTCCAATTTTCTTAGTCCAGAGCTTCTACGAACAATGTAGCAAAATCTTACACAACTCGAGTGGGTGTGTTTTAGGTGCTGTTTCCTTAGCTGTTTGTGTGCAACGTGTATTTAAATGTCATTGTTAAAGATAAAAGCTGCGTTGAGTAGCATCCTTCTCTCTCGCGCCTTTTACTCTGCATCAGCAATGGATCTACTGCTCTCAGGATGATGAATTTGAACTTGATCAATGATCTGATAGTACTTTTCAGTACAGAGTGATTATTATTGCTTAAGGAACATTTTTATTTCACGTCTCTGTGAATGTCTGGTGCTTCTCATAGAGGTATGTTTGTTTGACTGTAGAATATGACGTGCTCCTTTGGCTTCTGACACTGAGGTCAGACTATTTTTGGTCTCTTACATAGAGTAGTATTGGGGGGGGGATCTTCTGGTATTTTAAGCTGTCTGCCATGGCAGGCTCAAACTCTGTGTTTTGTGTTTCTTTCCCTTTACTTCAACTCCTGGCTGCATTTTTCTCCTCTCGCAGTCAGTGGGCATTGCCCACCTGCAAGGTGCCTCTCTGCCCCTTTGATGCATGAGCTTTCTGAGGCGAGTTGTCTGGGCTGAAGGGTTAGCCTTTGCTCTTTTGGTTCTTGGCTCTATTGAGTACTTGAGAGAGAAAGTGTATCAGCTTGCTGGGGTTGCCATCATAAAGTACTGCAGATTGGGTGAGTTCAACAACAGGAAATCATTTTATCACAATTTTGGGGGCTAGAAATCCAAGGTCAAGGTGTGTGCAGCGTTGGTTTCTTCTGAGGCTTCTCCCTTGGCCTGTAGGTGCGTCTTCTCTCTGTGTGTCCATGACCTTATCTCATAGGTGTACCAGTCGTACTGGATTCGTGACCTCATTGTAACTTCATTACCTCTTTTAAAGACTTTACTTCCAAGTGTGGGCACATGCTGAGGTCCTGTGGGTGAGGACTTCAGTGTCAGGATTGGGGGTGGGGGGCACAAGTCCGCCCCTAACAAGCAGACAGATAGGACATTTGAGAAGCTTTAAAAAAATGAGTAAGGAGAAATAAATAAGAGTCAAAAAGAAGAAGGAAAAGAAGTACTCATTTGTGCGAGGAATCACAAAAGCTTTCCTGTGTGTGCGGTGCCTTGTAACAGACAGAACACGTGTGGGTATCGCCTCTTTTTCCTCCCAGCACAAGGCGGGGTGGAGGATGCTGTCTGATCTCAGCAGCCGCATCCAGACTCGGGGCTGTCCTGTGTTGCCCCAGGTCTCTGCTCAGGAGCGACTGACCTGTGATCTGAATCCAGCTCTTTACACTCTGTCTAGTATTTTCCCCATCACCCCAGGCAGGGAGGCCGAAAGAAGGTATGCCTTCATGGGAAAATTTCATGGCCTGTTTGGTGGTGTTCTGTTCTGTTTTGAAAACTTTGGGGAGTAGAGGCATCATCTCCTTGTCAGCCAATTATGTTCCATATTCATGGTGCAGAAAGTAAGCGCACAGGCAGAAAGCTACAACTCTTCGGAGAAATAAGGAAAAGAAGTCACATGTTCTGGAAGTCATTATTTTATGATGGAAGTTTTTAAACGTAAAAAATGTAGAGAGAGGGATACAACCATCTCCCATATTTTTGTCCCTCAGACCAGGATTTTGCCTCAGTTGCTTCATTGATCCCTTTCCCCTCCTTAAAGTGAATCTCCCACAGGCCACTCCTTTAAGTATGTAACTTAAAAAATATAAACCTTTTTGACCTAACCATAATGCCACTCAAAGTTTCTGGGTTGCCCCCAAAAATCCTTTTACAATTTGTTTATTCAAATCAGTATCTAAACAAGGCCATGTGTTCAACATACTAAATTATGTTGGACAGTAAGTACATTTTCTTGCCTTTATTTCTTGTCTGCTGTGCTCAGGGGTACTTTACGGGTCTCTACAGAGAGAAAATGCCGTAATTTGGTTCGTTTGGATGTAGTTTGCAGTGATACTTATTTAAAATTTCAGGGTTTCTCACTGGACAGTGCATTAAACAGCTCTTAAAACAAAAACAGTTCTGCCTCAGTTTCAAATGTATTTCTATGGTCTTCAAGAATCATCCAGTGATTTCTTTCTGGATATTAATCAGCAGCATGTTATTTTTATTTTTTAATTAAAAATTTTTTTAAAAAATGTTTTTATTGATTTTAGAGAGAGGAAGGGAGAGGGAGAGAGAGAAACATCTATCGGCCGCCTCCTGCACGCCCCCTACTGGGGATTGAACATGAAATTTGGGCACGTGCCCTCACCTGGAATCAAGCCTGCAATCTTCTGGTACATGGGGCAATGCTCCAACCCACTGAGCCACACCACCCACGTGTGTGGCAGCACCATGTTATTTTTAAAAGGCTAGAAGTTTTTAAGGGAAAAAAAGTCAAGAATAAGTAAACATAATAAACATGAAAGTCGTGCATTTTTGCACGTTGCATTGGTGTACATGAGTACCGCTTAACTAATTTCATTAACATTGACTCACTACATTTTGTCCACTTGGAATATTGTTTCAGGAGATTCTTTTCCAACCACAACTCCTGCATACCAAGCTGCTAAGCTAGTTTAGTAGACACTTGCTTTTGTCAAACGTTATTTTTAGACTCAACAGGAATGCTGTTAACGTGAGTTAGCAAAGATTCTGAACGCAGTTATTTGTTGACAGCCTTTTATAAACGTGACAGTCTTGTATTCTGCTAACATCTTGTCTCTTCCAATAGGTATAAATGACCAAGGATTGTACAGAGTTGTGGGGGTGAGTTCAAAGGTCCAGAGACTTCTCAGTATATTGATGGGTATGCCTCTTTTCTAATCATTTTCCATGCATGATTTGTTTATGTTCATTGACGTCATGAGTTAACATTTCAGAGTCTCACCCGCATACTTGTGAATCCATTCTGTTCTTCTGCCCAGCTGCGTTTCCTCCCAGTTGACTCCGAGAAGTAGATTAGTGTTTGCATCAGCACAGATCATCCACTTTCCCTTGACTTACTAAAAAATAGAAGAAAAAAAGCACACAGCCCATGGGCGAATGTCTTCTTCTGCTTCCATCACACAGAAAGTGGCAGCCAGGCCTCTGTGATTTTGCGTGGCTTCCAAATCGGCTGTCGAGAGTCTTGCCAGTACCTGTGATTGGACAAGACCACCGGGACTTGCTTATTTTTATGGAGCTTCCCAAACTGTCATTTGACGGCGAGAGTCTGGTTCTCGGGGATTCATTGGTATTCACAGGGACTTGTCTGTCATTTGCACCAGGCTCTTCTCCAGAACCATGCGTGCTCCATCTGTGCTGATAACACAGTGTTCTTTGGCACCGCAGGCTGGAGGAAGCCAGACACTGAATTCATTTCATTACCCCAGACATGTGAATGACAAAACACTTCTCCATGGCACCCTGCTGGCAGGGCGGTGCCACCTGGACAGCACCCCACTCTCCCCAGCCCAGCAGGCTGCCTCTGAGGAGTGATGATCACTCATCAATCTTGAGGGCCTGTGTGTCATTACTACCTTGCTAAATACGAATTGCTTTGATGTCTCACTTTAATCACCATTAACAGTGCCCTCAAGTTTACTATCAGTGCATTTGAACCTGCGTCTGAAAGCAGTGTAGCAAGGACTCGTTTTTAAGAAGTAAAAACCAAGATGAATAAAATCAACCGTGATGGCCCTGGCCAGTTTTGCTCAGCGGTTCAGAGCGTTGGCCCGCGGACCAGAGAGTCCTGGGTTCGGTTCCCGCGGGGGCATGTGCCTTGGTTGTGGTTTGTCCCCGGCCCCTGTTGGGGTCGTGTGGGAGGCAGCCAGTCGATGTGTCTCTCTCACATTGATGTTTCTCTCTCTCTCTCTTCCCCCCTCTCTCCTTCCCGCTCTATCTGAAGATAAATGCAAAAATATCCTTGGTTGAAGATAAAAAAAAATCAACTGTGATGTCACAGATAGGATTGTTTAGGTTGTACTTGAATTAAGGATTTCATAAGCAACAACCTTTTTTTTTAAAGCTAGTAACCACAGAATAAAAATGGCCCGTCATCAGTTGGAGAGCCTGTTAGAATGCATCCACTTTCATGAGCTGTTTGTATTTTCTGCATCTCTGGTTTGACTTGGGTGTGCAGCCCTGGCAGTCAGATTTTCCTTTCTGCCATCAGCGGTCTCCAAATTAAACAGACTCAGGTTGCCAGTGGTTCAGTAGCAGCTGGAAGAGTTTAATGGGACTAGAGCATCTGCTTTTAGTTAATTTTAAAATTAGAAACACTTCTCTCATTTCCAAGATGGTGTAACGACGATTAGGACTGGAAGACGGTTGATGTCAGAGGGGGGATTTGGGCTGAGAGACGTGCGCTGTGGCCGTCAGTTGGTCCTGAGGGTCCTGGCGTTATTTTTATTGTCTCCTTGTTCATGTTTAAGGGCAGTTCCAACAGGGTGTCTCTGTGCTCACCCTGAAGTGTTAAATTGTCCCTAAATTCGTTCTTCATCTCATAAAATCCCACATGCGCTGCACCCCTGAATTTGGGTGGTGGTTTCCTCTGCTCATGGGAAGTGTCTCATTGGCTGTCCTTAACGTGCAAGGTGTTTTAAAATATCTAAGCCCTCAAAAATTCATGACCTGGAAAACTGTTGACAGTTTCCGTGAGGCTCAGAGTGCAGAAGTCCAGGACCCAAGCGTGACACAGCCTCATTTGTCGCTGGCAAAGGAAATGCTGTGTTTGCAGTACTAGTCTGCAAACAGAGGAAGCGAGAGAACTGACGTGAGGGAAGGGTACTGGCTTGTTAGTTTGCTTTTTTTTTTTTTTAAGTATTAATTCATTTAAAGGGGCTATGCAATATAAATTGTTTTACTTAATCTATAAATAATTCCTAGTATAAGTTTAAGATCGTCTATCACAAACTTTGGATTTTTTTTTTTTTTTTTTTTAATCCTCACTCAAGGATATTTTTCTGTTTATCTTCAGATCTAGTGTGAGGGAGAGAAAGGGAGAGAGAGAGAGAAACATCCACGTGAGAGGGATGCATCGACTGGTTGCTTCCCGCACGACCCTGACCGGGGCTGGGGATGAACAGCAACCGAGGTACATGCCCTTAACTGGAATTGAACCCATGAGTTTTTGGTCTGTGGGCTGACACTCTAACCACTGAACAAAACGGTCAGGGCCAAACTTTGCATTTTTATTAGCATTAATATCATTTCCTTATTACTTTGTTACCAACTCAGACTTTAGCTCTTAACAAAATAGATTTATTCACTTTCCTAATAAATTTATGATTTCATGAAGATATATCTTTCCTTTCATTCTGATTCAGCAGGTATTAAAATTGAAATAATTTATACTTATTCCAAAAAAAGGATTTTAGAGTTTCTGAACAGTCATGTATAAAACTATGCCATAGATTTTCTTTCTCCAATGTTCCCACCTTTTTACATTATTTGAAGATTACATACCTTTTTTTTTTTTTTAATCCTCACCCAAGGACATTTTTGCATTTATCTTCAGACAGAACGGGAGGGAGAGAGGGAGGAAGGAAAGAGAGAGACACATCGACTGGTTGCCACCCCATGACCCCCACTGGGGCCGGGGGCAAACTGCAACCAAGGTACGTGCCCTTAGCGGGAACCGAACCCAGGACTCTTTGGTCCGGGGGCCAACACTCCAACCACTGAGCCAAACTGGCCAGGTAAATTACATATCTTAAAGAGAAAAAAATTGGGTGAGTCTGCCAGATATGTAACTTTGAGCTTTTAAACCAATCTATGTTTCCGCCCTCTAGATAACGAATTCTGATAATTTTGCTCATTTGTGGTACTATGCACTTGTTGTTTAAAATTACTATTCCTCCATGAAATGTTTATTTCAAATTTGAATTTTTTCAAAGCACCTTTTGTTTGTGATGCATTTTTCTTTGCACAAATGAAAAATGGTCTAATTTTTAAGTCTCCAAGGAAGAAGTTCCAAGCCGTTTTATAATTTTTGACAAGAACTTCTGTTTGCTTCGTTCTCTAGTTCTTGAGAGCTAATTATTTACTATGGTATTATTTTTCTGTTATTGCCGTTTTTGCATACAATTTTTTTTGTATTGAAAATATGTTGAGGATTCTTTAATTATTCATGTGTAAACGTTTGGATGATTTCTAAAGAAAGGGTGCCTGCTCAAATCTCACGTTTTCTTCACTTGTTTCCTTTTTCAGTGTGTTTTCCCCCTTCACATTTAAGATTAAAAATAGAGAAAAATGTTTCTATTATTCCCCCCTCCCCCACTCCTTCCTCTCTGGCTGCCATCACAACATAACTAATGGCAGTTGACCATAGAAAGCCGTCTAAATAGTCAGGTCATTAGGACCCTTGCAGGCAGGAGTGAGCAGCTGCCCTCTCACATGGTGAGTCACCCATCTCCTGGGCACAGAGGGCACGGTCACTGACTGAGACTCCTAGTTGCCCCTGGACTTCCTAAGTTCCCCAAAGAAGAAGTTTAGGTGAGCAGTGGCCTCCCCCCTTTCAGGTCATTTTCCTTCCTTCCCCTGTGGCTCCAGCAGAGGGCACACGTGGCCTCAGACAAGTTTTAGGGTTTGTTTCTTTCTTAAACAGAGAGCTAGGCCGTTGGGGAGGGCAGGGAGAAGTATCAGACCAGGTGTCTTTGGGTGAGTCATGCTTTTTTAGTAAATGGGGTGAGAATGTAACAGGTTAATTACGATAGTTATTGGCAGTTTAGAACCGAGATGAGAGAATTGCACGTACTCTGCCCCCCCCCCCCCTTTAGAATGAGACACGGGGGGGGGGGCACCTGTGAGAACACGTGATAATGGCTTAGGCGCGCTGGTGAGAGTGGTGATTTCTGCATAAATCTGATTTGCAAAGAAGGGTGGATGCTTTCAACTTAGAGAACCACAGAAAACACGCAAAACTAATCCAGAAGTGTTTTACTTTTAAACTATTACCTTGTTTACTGCAAAAAAAAATTCATTTTTGAAATTCATTTAATCACCCTGCTTTTTAATTAGTTTAAAATGAGACCTGAGTCATTGTCAACACTTGCATTTAGGTTGGGCTGAAATTTTCCTGTTTCAAAAAAATGACCACGGGCTACTTATGAAATTATGACGCATTAACCCCAATAAAAAGTCAACTGTTTGTATCTGCGCTTGTTAATTTCGATGTTGAAGTAATCCACGAGGTCGTTTCCCTTGGCCAGAAAGGAAGCGGATTTTTAACCTTATTTGCAATGGGACATATATTCTGATTAAACAGTCAAATGCATTTTGAGTTTGAATCCTAAATAAGCTGTTAAATTTGCCTGGTCTCAGTGCATCCACTAATTGTAAAACACTGCTGTGGATGATTGAGTTATTCGGAAACAGTAACATTTAATGGAGGATCTGTAATAAATGCAGTTATCAGCTTCTCATGTAACAGCTACTTTTTATTCCATGGGTTCAAAGGATGGCTTTATTTTTGCATTGAAAAGATATGATTCTCAAAATATATAATGATAGTTTGGCAGAAGGCTGAAAAGGAAGGATTTCATTCAGAAGCCCTTCTTTCAGAAGGATTTAAAAATGGTGATTTGCTGGGAGCAATTTGGTTGAAAATGTTATCTGACTTGTATGTTAAAATGAGATTTAAATAATTGATTTAATGAGAGGGAGAATATTCAGTTACTGAAGTAATTGGTTGGCAAAGCCTTTAGAACAGAATTATTTAGTCCCCGTTATAAAGGATTGTGCCTTTAATCAGGATGCTTAATTTGATTTCTCCAATGTACCTGTGGCTTGTCTGACAAGCTCGGTAACAAATGACTTCTGAATGGTGGGAACTGATCAAAATGTAATCAGTGTCAGCTGCCATTGTTGTAGTTTATTGCCTATTGCTGTCAGTTGCTGTAATCAAGAACTGCCGAAGTGCTTAAAAGTCTCCAGACTTTTGAGTAATTGACTTCATATGTATGATGTTATGGCTGTGAAATAGCCATCACTTCCTGTTTCACTTGATTTTCCAGAAGTTTGAGAATAACATTGAGTTGTCATCCATCCTTCCTCATACTCAAGCCTCAAACTTCTTAAGTGGCGTGGATGACATCATGTGGTGGTCCCATTTTGACGGGATTTTCTTCTTAGTGCTTTTAAAGAGGAAATACTTACGTGATGTTGCCTTCCCTGTATAGACCAATGCAGTGTAAGGAGGGAAAATAACCCCAAAACAACTGGGGTGTTTTTTGTTTTTGTTTTTGGTCCTTAGTTGAAACATCATTCTGGAGTGAGGGAGAAATAAAGTCTCCTCTTATTCTCTCTTTTGCATGAAGACAGTGTAGATAAGCAGACACCTTTGTAGTGATTGATATCACTCATTATAGCCCACCTGCTACCCCGTCCCCAGGAGGTTGTTACGCCCACTGCATGCTCATTGAACAATCAGTGGACATCCCTGATTTGCTGCGATGCTCCCTGAGAGCTTTTACATGCATGGCCTCCTTTGGCCGGATGAAGGCCTGGCGTTCAGATGGGTTTGGAACGGACTTGTGTGAGGCTTTCGGCAGAGATTTCAGCCAGGGTTTGTGACCCCAGTGCTGCACCCTGCCCTGTGGTCATGCCACGCTGAGTATGGCAGCCCAGCCACACCAGATCGGAGATGCCACCCTCCTCAGAGGACTTGTCTTTCCTACCGTCCAGGACTGACTTTTTCCTTTTCAGAATTGACTGCCTCCCTCCTCCTCCCCTTCTCTCCTCCCTCCCTCCCTCTTTCCCCTCCCTCCCTCTTTCCCCTCTCTTCCCCTCCCCCTCTCCCTCCCTTCCTTCCTTCCTTCCTCTCTTTTTCTTTCTTTTTAAAGCCCCCTGACTTCTTTAGAGTTCACTAGCTATTTGAAAGGTCATTTGGAAGAACACATTATAAACACACTTTTAGGACAAAGAAAAATAGTTTAATTTAGAATGGACGTCAGAAATGTTACACAGGGCGTTCCAATAAATGTTACCTGGGTGAGTGTATACATGCTAATGTTAATGTGAAAGAGTGACGGCTCTCCAAGTTCATGTGTCGTCATATACTGTTTTGCTGGATCATGTATTCATCTTCAGAAAGATACTATGATGAGTACAAACCTTAGACAGCTGGGGCCAAGCTCACCCCTTCCTCCCACTGACTCTTTGCTGTTCTAATCGTCATTTTGCCATTAACTATGCTGCCCGTTTCCCGTTGTGACTCCGTGTGACTATGCCACCTGAACAATTGAAAATATACAGACACTACCAGTGCCATGTTCTTAAAGCTGTGGCTACTGAGTAATAACGTTAATGATGATAATATTGATAACAGTAATAACAGTCGCTCTCCGTGCTTTGCGGAGGTGGTGATTGAAATGCCATACTATGTGAGTTCTCCCCTACTCTCCGCCCAACACTTATCCTTTAATTTAGAACTGCAGCTTTTCTGAAGAGCTAGAAATGTCTAATAGATCACGGCTTACGTAAGAAATTGTATATAATGTTTTTATAGGAAACCACAGAATTAATTATTGGTGGTCTGGCCACTTATAAATGAAAGCTTTGTGAATCGGTCAAGGGGGACTTTGAATGTTCAAGGTTTTAATTACTTTTTCTTGTTTGCTTGCTCACTAGATGTAAAAACATGCAATGAGTTGGACCTGGAGAATTCCGCAGATTGGGAAGTGAAGACCATAACAAGTGCCCTGAAACAGTATTTGAGGTAAGCTCCTCAGTCGCAGATGGGAACAGGATGCTTTGGACCTTAACACACAGCACGTAAATCTCAGTTGTCCCGTTAAATCTGATGAAAAGGAGAACGTTTACGGGGTATCTAGTAATCCCAGAAAGCGAATTATGTAGAGGAATATTAGGTAAGTTCAACAGAACAGAATTGGAGTGTACAGACGTAGGTTCTGAAATAGATATCTGGTGTGAATGTGAGTTTTAGGACGTAGATGCTACGAGACAATGAGGGAAGAACACTATTTACTGCATTCCCTGAATCTTTTATGTTTTTTGGCTAAAATGAAGGTTTTTATTTTTTTTTATTTTAAAGCTTAAAGTTAAACCATTTGAACTTAAAGGCTGAAATGATAAAACAAATACAAAGCTATTTGAAAAGAAGTTTACTTGTTGAGGTTTTAAGAGACACTTTTTTCCATTTGTCATAGAAAATATTTAGGACTAGAATTAGAACAAGTGCTAGCATCTCTGTGAGTCGTGAGCCTTTCTCTGGGAAAGAAGGAATTTCGTAATTAAGAAGTTCGAGGTTAGAGAAAGAACAAGCCGAAGGAGTGGGAAGCAGCGACAGGAGGGGGAAGGACGGAAGGAGGGGGGAGGACGGAAGGAGGGGGGAGGACGGAAGGAGGGGGGAGGACGGAAGGAGGGGGGAGGACGGAAGGAGGGGGGAGGACGGAAGGAGGGGGAAGGATGGAAGGAGGGGGAAGGACGGAAGGAGTGCAGCAGCAGCGACGGAAGGAGGGGGAAGGAGTCGGCTGCGAAGCTCTGGTTCTGCTGAGGGCTTGGCTTCTTGGTCAGACATGGCAGCACCCCAGGATCCGTTCTGTCCGACACCGAGGGTTGTTTTTCAGGTACATAGCATTGGGGTTCCAAGGAGCACATTAGGGCCAACTTATTGTTACGTATTTTATATTTTTAAAATTTTACATAATTGAAACATTTCAGACATGTAGAAGCAGAGAGATCGGTGGAGCCTCATGGCCCCATCTCTTGGGGTCCCCAGTTCCCACAAGCTGCTGCTTGTTCCCTCGGTCTTTCTACCGGCCACGTTTTCCGGGTAATACTTTAAAGATTCTGTAAAACATCATATTGCTGCACCCATAAATATTGAGCATGTAGGTCAAAAAGGATAAGGACTTAAAAAAACTATATAGAAAAGACAAGAAGACTGTAATTATTATACCTAACAAAATTAATATCACCAAGTACTTTTTCCAAAAAGAGTCTTTTTATATTTGTTTTAATTCCTACAGGAATTAAACAATGTCAGCACATTTCACTTGGTTGATACGTGTTTTTTTTCTTAATTGATTTTTTTAAAGAGAGAGAGGAAGGAAAACAGAAAGAGAGACAAACATCGGTTTGTTGTTCCACTTATTTATTCATTTGTTGGTTGACTCTTGTATGTGCCCTGACGGAGGATTGAACCCGAAACCTTGGCACAGGGGGGCGATGCTCTAACCAGCTGAGCTACCCAGGCAGCACCCGGCTGATGTGTTTTAAGTCGCTTTTAATTTTCAGTTTCCTACCTCTGCAACCCACCCTCATCATTTTTTTGTTGTGGTTGATGAACCTGGGTCCTTTTTTAAAAGAGAATTTTCTGCTTTTAGGTTATGGCTATATTTTGTGTCCTTATGGTGTTGTTTAACGTGTTTCCCCAGCCATCATATTTCCTGTAAACTATTAGTTAAATATAGGATCCATTAGATTCAGTTAAGGGAATTTATTGCAATAATATTTATTTATTGTACGAATGCATCATAGTGGTGCTATATTCTTCATGTGGTTTTATATCAGGGGCCTGTGTTGTCTGGCTATTCTACTTTTTAATGAAATTAAAAGATACCAGTGGGCTCAGGTGTGTATTACATAGTTTTGAGTATTTTATTTAAGCAAGATGTTTTTAGTCATTATTTTACATTTTTTCCCTCAACTATGAAGTTACATTGTCATTATTCCGAGTCTATAGAAGGGTATAAGTGAGGCTAAATCTGCATGCTTATGTCTAGTTTGCCACTGATGGTGCCTCGCTGGTATAGATGAGGATTATGGTAAAAATGAGTCTTGGTAGCTCCCACCCTGGGATTAGAATGTAAGCTTCCTAAAGGTAGACTTCTTATGTTTCCTGTTCACTGCGGAACCCCCAGCAGCTATAGTTGAACCTGTCATTCAAATATGAGAGCAGTGGTTCTCCACCGGGGATGATGTTGTCCCTGCCCCAAGGGGGTATCTGGCAATATCTGGAGACATTCTTGGTTGTCACGATTGCAGGAGAGAGGGGGAGCTACTGGCAGGTAGTGATTCGAGGCCAGAGATGGTTTGCTGAACATCCTACAATGCACGGGAGAGCCCGTTTCTTCCTCCGATGTCCAAAACATCAGTAGTGCCTAGGTTGAGAGAGCCTGTTTTAGATGCATGATGGAAAGAAGGGGCAAGGAATATAAAAATGTAAGAAATTATGTATGTTACTGACTAGCAAAGGGTGCTGCTACTCCAGGAGGAAGCTAAGCTCACTTTACTGTTTGGTAAACTCACGCCTTGTACAGGTAAGGGAGTTGAGCATGGTGATCAGTTATTGGTGGGAAACTAAAGGCAAAATTCCAGTTATCTTGTAGTAAATTGTGTGTTTTCCTGCTGCTCCATGGAGTTCTTTTTCCCTTCTTATGTGAGGAATTTGTTAAAAGCTAGTTCCTTATTGCCATTGGTCTTGTGTTACTTTTTTCTGCCTTTTTCTCTCATTACGTTGCTTCATCCTCTTAAATTCCACTTGTAAGCAAATGTTACTTACAGAACATTATGAGATATTATATCTGCCCTATAACTTCCCTCCTTACAACACACACTAGTGAGACCAAGTCATGATCATGAAGTAGCAGATGACTTGGAAGGTTTGAAAGGTTGCTGTTCTTTTCCCCTGTGTTATTGTCAGCAATTGAAAATGCAGTAATGAGGATTCAGTGATGCATCAAAGGGGAGACAACGGAGTTTTTATGGACCTCGTTTCGACCACCCAGTTGTGGCCGGCAGGAACGCAGTGTGATAGTACAGAACCCCCCCGGGGATCCCAGCGTCCCTTCGGCTCATGGCCCAAAGCAGCGGCCAGCTCTCTCCTCGGGGCCCATGAATTCCGCTGCAGGGAACCCTGCCACCTTCTGGGATGAGAGGTTGGAGGTAGTAGAGGGAAGTAACCGAACCCCAAACTCCAAACTAAAACAAGAAGCAAAGTGTCCAGGGTCTGGGAGAAAGACGATTTTTCCTGTTTCTTCTGCTGACTTGAGGCAACTTAAAAAAAAACACAACTTTTAGTGCTTTCAGAGGGTTGAAGACCAGTCCTCTGGTTGATTTCCTATCTATTTAGAGTATAATTCTGACTTCCAGCAATGTGTTCATCGCAACAGTTTCTTCCCACGTGAGGGGCAAATGAGCTGTCTTGTGACACTTTTAGTACAGTGATTTTACCTCGCGGAGACTTCTAAAGCCTGCAAATGGAGTGGGACTTGAGGGGAAGAAAATGCCGCTGTAGGTCAGTACTGTGATTTATATTCCCAGACAGATCCCAACAGGTGGCAAAGAGATGCAGGTCCGAAATGTGTTGGGTTGGGAGGTTGGGAGATCAGAGACTCCGGACAATAGATTTTGTTTGGGGAACTTTTCACTTTACTCCTGCTTCCCAAACATTAACAGTATTTAATGCTTTTATTTCTTGATCCTCACCTGAGGATGTGTTTTTATTGATTTTCAGAGAGAGAAAAGGAAGGAGGGAGGGGAGGAGGGAGAGGGAGAGAGAAACATTAATGTGAGAGAGAAGCATCGATGTTTAATGCTTACTTTCTATGCCTCATTGCCTAGCAGACAGATGGCAATGATGTAAGAAGCTTGTAGATACTTAGATACAAATTCATTATTATTGAAAAAGAAAATCCCTCTGTGGTTTTTCTAAGAGTTCTCATTTTCCCCACTTTTCTTTTCAGTGCCTTTAACTTTCAGTCTTTGCCCAGTAAGTTTTCCTTCTTTGCTATGTCTTGCTTTTCCATGTTTTGAAACAAAAATCCCCGAAGTTTACTTCTTTGTATTTTGGCTGTGGTATAATTGATTTAATTTTTCTTCTTCTTTTTTTTTTTTGCTAATCCTCCCCCAAGGATATTGATTTTTACATTGAGTGGAAGAGAGGGAGGGACAGAAACAATGATGTGAGAGAGACACATCACTTGGCTGCCTCCCATATGACCCTGACCAGGCTAGGGATCGAACCTGCAACCCAGGTACGTGCCCTTGCCTGGGAGTTGAACCCTTGACCCTTCGGTCCTCAGGCCGACACTCTAACTGCTGAGCAAAACTGGCCAGGGCAATATAAATTTTCTTCTTTAAATGATAGGGTAGGGGGTGAAGGGGAGGATAGAGGAAATAAGGGAACAGTGTTCTTTAGTGCTTTAGTTACAGTTACTATTTCGTGTGTGTGTGCCTGTGTCTGTGTCTGCTGCACCATCACAGATTGTTTGTCGAGAACATAACCTTTAAGTTTATGTTTGCATATATTTTGTTTTTAAACAGTTTTATTGAAGTGTAATTGCAAGCAATATATTTATAGTGTTCATTTGGATAAGTTTTTTATTTTTTTTTATCCTCACCCGAGGACATTTTTCCATTTTTTGTTCAGATAGAGTGGGAGTGAGGGAGAGGAAGAGAGAGAGAGAAACATTGACGTGAAAGGGACACATCGAGTGGCTGCCACCTGCACGACAACCAGGGCCGGGGACAAACTGCAACCGAGGTACGTGCCCTTAGCGGGAACCGAACCCGGGTCTCTCTCGACTGCAGGCCGACGCTCTAACTGCTGAGCAAGACCGGCCAGGGCGATAAGTTTACATGTATATGTCTGTGGAGCCATCACCATAACCAAAGGAGTGACCCTCTCATGACCCCCGGTTTCCTCATGCCCCTTGGAAAACCTCGCTCTCACCCCACCCTATTTATCTCCCGGTTCCTAGGCTTTCTGTCATCATATTAAAAATGTACTTGCTATCATTTCACATAAATGGAATATTATCATATGGTTCTATTTTTTTTCCTTTAAATCTGGTATCTTTCACAGCATAATTAGAGATTTACCTGTTGAGGCATAAATTCATTGCTTTCTGTTGCTAACTAGTGTTCTATTGTATGGATACACCACAATTTTTAAAAATCCATTCACCTGTTGATGGATAGTTGGGTTGTAGCTTTTGGCTATTAAAAATGAAGCTACTAAAAACCTTGTGTAGAAATCTTGGAGTGAGAATAAGCTTTCATTTCTCTTGGGTAAATGCTAATGTCTGTGTAACGTCTGGGTTGTACAGTCGGTGTGCATTTAAAGTTTTGGTAAACAGACATACTTTTTTCCCAATGTGGTTGTACTTGTTTACATTTCCACCAACAATGTAGAAGAGTTTCATTTTTCTCTACATCCTTGTCAACTCTTGATATTGTCAGTCTTCTTAATTTTAGCCATTCTAACACAGTGGGCGGTAGTATCTCATTGTGCTTTTTAATTTGTGATTTTGTAATGACTAGCGATATTAAACATTTTTTATGTGCTCTTTTGGCATTTATATATCTTCTTGGGTGAAGTGACTGTCCATGTCTTTCACGCAATTAAAAAAATTGGGTTATTTTTCCTCTTACTGTGTTTTGATCATTCTTTATATATTTTATATAAAGATACAAATCTTTTCTCAGATAGTATGTTTTGCAAATTTTTAGGTCTGTGACTTTATTTTTATTCTCTTAATAACGTCTTTCGCCCTGGCCAGTGGCTCAACTAGTTGGTGTGTCTCTCTCACATTGATGCTTCTCTCTTTCTCTTTCACCCTCCCACTCTGTCTAAAAATCAATGGAAAAGTATTCTTGGGTAAGGATTAACAAAACAAAATAAAAAATAGTGTATTTTGAATGGTCTTTAATTTTGATGAAGTCTAATTTATAAATTTTTCTTTTATATGATGTCTCAAGAAATCTTTGCTTAATTCAGAGTCACAAAGGTTTTCTATTTTCTTCTAGAAGTTTTAGAGTTGTAGGTTTTATACTTAGATTTGTGGTTTATTTTGAGTTAATTTTTGTGACAATATGGGGTGTGGATCCAAGTTCACTTTTGAATATGGATGTCCAGTTGTTCCAGTACCACTTGTGGGAAAAAATATTTTTTTCTTCCTTGAATCGCCTATTGAGATGATCATACAGTTTTGTTTTGTTTTTTATTCGCTAGTATGGTGAATTGCATTGATTTAAAAATATATATATTAAGGCAGTGTTGCATTTCTCTGATAAGCTTATGATATATTATCCTTTTATTTATTTTTGAGAATTTGAGGTTTTAATGTTTTATTTAGAATATTTGCATCTGCCCTGGCTGGTTTTGCTCAGTGGTTGGAGCATCGGCCTGCAGATCAGAGAGTCCTGGGTTCGGTTCCCACTAGAATATTTGCATCTATATTCACAATATTGGTCTGTAGTTTTCTATGTATGTCTTTAATTTGGAACTAGAGTAATGCTTATGGCAAAAAATGAGTCAGAAAGTATTCTTTCTGATATTTTCTGGGAGAATTCGTATAGAATTGGTATTCTTTGTTTGCTGGAATTCACCAGTGAAGTTTTCTGGCCCTAGCGTTTTCCTACTGGCAAATTTAAAACTACAGATTCAATTTCTCTAATAGACGTGGGACTACTCAGGACCTTTGGGAGTTTGTGTCTTTCCAGACATTTGTCCATTTAGTCTAAGTGGTTAAATTGTGGACATAAACTGTTCATAACATTGCTTTATTTTCTTTTTAGTACCTTTACAGGCTATATCCATTTTGCAGCTACCTCTATCATTTCTGAGATTGATGATTTGTGATTTCACTATGTTATTTCCTAGTCATTCTGGCTAGATTGATCAATTTTATTGATTATCTCAAAGAACTAGGTTCATTTATTTTCTCTGTTTTTGTTTTCTATTTCATTGATTTCTCCTGTGATATTTATTTTTTCTGTTCTTATTTGGGGTTTCCTTTACACTTTTTTTTTCTCCTGGTTGAGATGGAAAGTGAAGTAATTGATAGAAGGTCCAATTTCTTTTCTAATATAGGTGTTTAACAGTAAAAATTTATTTGCAAATACTGCTTTACTAACAACTCTCAATTCTTATATGTGATGTAGTGTATTTAGTTCAAAATAGTTCCTAATTTTATTTTCTTTGGGGTTTTCCAGATATATTTCTGTTATTGATTTCTAAATCCAATTTTTATTGTAATTAGAGAAATACCCTGTGTAAATGGAACCCTTTTAAGTTTACTGAGATTCGTTTCATGCCCCAGAATATAGATTATCTTGATAAATGTTCCACGTGCCCTGGGAAAGAATGCATTTGTGTGGAGTGTCATTTAGGTGAAGGACATACCAACTAGATGAAGTTGGTTGATCGCTTTGTTCAGATCTTCTGTATTTTAACTGATTTTCTGTCTCCTCCTTCTAACAGCTATTGAGACAGAGAGGTATTTAAATCCCCGCTCTAGTTGTGGATTTGTCTATTTCTCTTTATAGCCTCATCAGTTTTGCTTCATGTATTTTGAAGCTCCTGTTGTTAGATCCATTAACATTTAGAATTATGTCTTGTTGATGAATTGACCTCTTTATCAATATGAAATGATCTCCTTTATTCCTGGCATGTGTCTTGGCTTTTGCATATATTTAAAATTTTGTGTGTGCATATCTTTGATTTTTTTTTTTAAGTACTTGAGGAGGAATTTCTGGGTTACATGATTTAAACATGTTAAAGTTTCTTAACATCTTGCCAGATTGCCCTGCAGAAACTATACAGATTGATACTTGTCTCAGTGTTCTTAAAGTGTTTATGGAGTGCAAAGTTCTGGTCTTTGAAAATTTCAGATTTGTAAAAGGTTGAACTATAGCATTGCGTCAACCACAGGATAAAATATACCATCACTTATGTAATCTTTTTTGTAGAAAATTAAAATGATTTGGGTATTTTTCAAGTTGTCCTCAATTTCACTTCATACTTATGTTTTATTGTTTGATAGGCAAAAACCAAAAAATGGCTATCAGATTTTTATAATGGGGATATGTAAGAAGAAAGGATTTGATTTATTTGTTTATTTAACCTTTTGCATATATATATATATATATATATATATGGATATTTTTGTGTGTGGCATTTTCAATTAATATATAGAGATGATTTGCAAAATTATATGCTTCTACTTGGTTGAATAAGAATGTTTGACTTTAAATAAGTTAATGTGTGGAAGGAATTTCTAAATATAAAATTAGATGTTTGTAAAGGTACTTTTCAGTGTTAAATGTGAAATACCATGTGCTTAGATCTGACAGGAATTTTTGGTTGCTGAAGCTTTGATAGTGCCTGGTGCAGATAGCGCTTAATAAGTAATCCATTTGGTTTATGTATCTTTTTGATATATGAAAGTCTTCCCTAGGGAAGTTCTATACATCACTAAGGAATACACAACATGTTTAACATTCTGTCAAAGAACGAACGCAGAGAGTGGTGAGCTGTGTGGACTGGTTTGGTAATTCTGAGCTGTGCTTTTCACACAGGAGTCTTCCGGAGCCTCTCATGACCTATGAGTTACATGGGGATTTCATTGTTCCAGCCAGTAAGTATTACAGAGAGGTGAATAGACACAGTTTGCGGTCGACAGGGTGTGTACGCTCTCATTTCCACATGAAAGTTTAACTCCATTATTGCAATTTGTGTTAAAAATAGACATCACTTTAGACCAGCGGTTCTCAACCTGTGGGTCGCGACCCCTTTGTGGGTCGAACGACCCTTTCACAGGGGTCGCCTAAGACATAACAGTAGCACAATTACAGTTATGAAGTAGCAATGAAAATAATTTTATGGTTGGGGGTCACCACACCATGAGGAACTGTATTAAAGGGTCGTGGCATCAGGAAGGTTGAGAACCGCTGCTTTGGACGATCTTGGGTTTCTTCTTCAAAAGGTGACAAAAAATTAATAAATTTGTTCATTCATTCACAAACATTTATTCAATGTCTACTGTATTGTAGCCACTAGTAGATACTGGGTGTGTATGTATTCTGCAACAGAATTGCAGCCCCAGGAGTCTGTTCTCTAGCAAGTGTTGGTGGATATACATCCCACTGTATATAAAATATATAATATATAAAATGCTGTGGGAACGCAGATGTATTTAACTTACAGAAGGTTATGGAGATGAGCAGGTTGGAAATGGCTTCACTTAGAAGGATATTTAGATGGAAAGTAAAGGCAGAAAAGGATACTTTGGGCTAATGTCAGAAGCCCACAATAGTTGATAGAGAGCAAATTGTATGTGATACAGTGTTAAATGAGAAAGGTCCATAGTGGGTAGACTTTTATTTTTTATTTATTTATTTATTTATTTTTTATCCTCACCCGAGGACATTTTTCCATTTTTTGTTCAGGTAGAGTGGGAGGGAGAGAGAGGAACAGAGAGAGAGAGAAACATCGATGCGAAAGGAACACATCGAGTGGCTGCCACCCGCACGACCAACCAGGGCCGGGGACAAACTGCAACCGAAGTACATGCCCTTAGCGGGAACCGAACCCGGGTCTCTCAGGACCGCAGGCCGACGCTCTAACCGCTGAGCCAACCCGGCCAGGGCTAGACTTTTAATCTGTGATGAAACTTTTGGTGAGTCATACTTATTTAAACGTTTTCTTGTTTTCTGTTTTATCATCATACACCTCAGTTTGTATATTTGACACATGTTGTTTAGTCATTAGAGTCTTCTGGAATACACCGTTGGTAGGTACTTAATAGTTAAGGCAGTGAAGGTTGAGAGATGTTAAGCAACTTGTCAGGTCATGGGAATCTTTATTGAAATTCCAAGCCCCAGTTCCACTGGCTAAAACCTGCCGTTTGGTTTTCACAGGTGCACCGACAGTAGCTATAATTGTATTTTCATTTCCTTTTATTTTTTTTCCCCCTTGGATGTATTCCATAGTTCAATCTGTCGATAAATTTAGAGCAATCCCTTTGGGTCCTGTGTTACTGCTGCCCAAACATTGCTGTAAATGTCACCTTTTCGTGAGGTCTTTGCGCAGGCCAGTGTAAAGGTGCCGAGGACGTTGAGAAAGAAGCAAGGTGTGGGCCCGCCTGGACTGTCCATATAAACTGGGCTCTGGAAAGGGAAATCATTCGGTCCTGTTCACTTTTGTTTTCGTGTGGAAGAGGATTTTTTTTTTTTTTTGAGAATTTGTGTGATCAAGGAAGTGGGGAAAGCTTTCTTGGCAGCAACTCAAGCAAATGCTTAGTTGTTTTGATTTCTTCCCTGTGGCACTTTTGGCAAACCAAGGAAGGAGAAATTAAACTCTGCTTGGAGGACAATTGTTTCATGTTGTTCGCCTTGGAGACTGGAAAAAGCAGAACAGTGCCAGTTTTAATCTCGGATCCTTTGAGAATCGGAGAAAGATAAAGTGATTATGGAATAAGGTTTTAAAGGACCACAAGTGAGTATCATTATGATCAGCATCATGCCTTGTAACCGAAGTCAGTGTGTTTGAAACTCAGATATCAATGTATTTGACCAGATGAAGGCTTCCTGAGAGGTGGGGATTTACAAGTGGTAATGAAGTCCTTGGTGGGAGGGAATGAGTTGAAAGAGTTTGGGTTGGGGTTGTGTGGGAAGCAACCGATCTATGTGTCTCTCTCACATCGATGTTTCCCTCCCTCCCTCCCTCCCTCCCTCCCTCCCTACCTCCCTCCCTCCCTTCCACTCCATCTAAAAATCAATGGAAAAACATCCTCGAGTGAGGATTCACCAAAACAAACAAAAAAGTAGTGTCATCACCTACTAGACGAAGACCTTTGTTTTGCTTCCCGACTTTGTGGGATGCTGTTATAGAGTCTTAATTCGAGTAACAGTCCTGTTCCAAAGAAATACTGTAGCTACTATAATTATTGGCCCGTATTTGCACCTAAGTGGAGTTGTAGTTGGAATGGGACCTGTAGTTCTCTTATTTAATGAGGAAAGGTACATGAATTAACCAGGTGTATTTTAGCGGCTGACATTTCTAATGCAGACTTTAGTTTTTTGTTTGAATCCCGTGAGGGCCGCTTCCTGTCCTCAGTTTGCTCTCAGAAGCAGACCCGCTAATCTCTCACATATGCACTTGCAAGTATCGAATAAAACAGTTACCGAAACGAGGTGGCCGAAATTAGTCTCCCTTTTGGAATGTTGGAAAACCGGGATTGCGGTGCAGCCATCGTTTTCCATTCACGAGGGCAGCGATTCCTCTGCTCTGCTCAAGTGTCTGCTGGCTGAGCTGACGCCGAAATGATGGGCATCGCCCGCCTTTGCCACCGCGCCTCCCCCAGCACGGACACGCGCTTGTGGTTCTCTCAGTCGTGGGCGGTTGTTCCCATCTGCTCCGTGTGTGAACGGTGTCTTCTGCCTGCCCTGCTGGGCTCCCGGAGGCTTCCTGGGCCCTTTCGCGTCCTGTGCCTTCTCCTGCCTGTGGAGTCGGCTGAGGACCCGTGTCGATTTCCAAAGTGCGTGATGCAAAAGGAATTTTATTTGTTGTCACCACGGGAGGCAACAGATCTTTCTTTTTCACTCTTAAGAAATACCAGCTTATTGTTTAATGTCGAATGTGTCGGGAAATGAAATATTTTTCTTTCTCAGAGAAAATTAAGAGCATGAGCTAGACCCTCAGCTGAGAGTTAACTAAATTTGCTGAAAGGAGCTAGAAACCGTCTGTCTGGACGAGCCACGCCCGTTTGTCCTCGCCTCACACACACTACTTCGCTTCTGGCACTTCTGGTCACCAGCCAGCCGGGTGACCATCTACCTAGAAGTAGCATCAGACCCCGCCAAGGGAGGTCTCAGTCCCACAAGACTGCCCCCACGGAGACAGCAGGCGGAAGTCAGGTCGTCCCCAGTGATCCCGACTGAACGTAGAGATCAGGGTTCTCCTAACCCCCCGGATCTTTAATTTGCTGGACAGGTTCATAGAACGCGGGACGGCACCACTGAGGTTTGCCAGCTTTTTCCATAATAAAGGAAACAAAGGATGCTGATGGACAGCCAGGTTTAGAGCACGCAGGCGAGGCCTGGACACGTCCTGAGCACGGGAGCTGTCCCTGGGCGGGTGGTGGGGGCGCCACCTCCCCAGCATGTGGGTGTGTCTGCGCCCTGGGAAGCTCTCCAAACCCTGTCCTTTGGGGATTTTTATGGAGGCTTTGTCATGTAGGCAATATGGATTATTAACTCCATCTCCAGCCCCTCTTGCCTCCCCGGGGAATGAGGGGTGACCTGAAAATGCCAGGCTTCTAATCCTGGCTAGATCTTTCTGGTGGCCAGTCCGCACCTGAGGGCCCATCCAGAGTCACCTCATTAGAAAGTAAGAAGTTCCTTATCACCCAAGACATTCCAAAGGACTCAGGGGCTTGGTGTCAGACACTCTTAAGTTATGGAGGTCTTAGGAGCTCAGTGTCAAATCTAAGGTCCAAGACTCAATATTAGAACCAAAGCTTATCTGAGCCTTCCTATTTACAAGGCTTTTAGGAGCTCTGTGTCAGAAAATGGAGGGTAGAGAGATATATATATGTGTGTATATATATATATATGTATATATATGTATGTATATGTATATATATAAATATATATAATAATAATAATTATTATTAAATTATTTAACATCATCTATTTTTTGAGAGAATATAATGGACTTGTAGTGTAGACATTTGTAAGTGAAAAGAGTTCGCTCGGTCTGCACAGGAGTGCGAACGGTTGTGCTCACCCAGAGAAGGCTATGTTTGGTATTTGTTACCTCTGAGAATGTTGTAGTCCATGGTCTGTGACTCAGCTTCTCAGGCTCAGATTTCTTGACCTGTCAGATTGGCAAGAATTGGACCTATGCTTCAGGGTCGGACTCATGTAGACTTGGTTTGAGGACAGCCGGAGCCTGCGTGCTTGCTGCGGTGTTGCACAAGGTATCGCAGGCCCCCAACCAGAACACCTGTGTTGTCATGCTCAGTAGTCAAGTCTCCTGGGAAGTAAAATCACGTTCACAAAGTTCTTGAGTCATTTATGATGAGAAACGTAGCTGTTATAGGACCCAGGGCGCTGGTGTTTGCCTACCCAGAATGTTCTGTTCTTGTTGGTAAACAGGCATGGGAAATGAGATGCGGTCACGTGGTCTTGGTGGGGGAAGGACCCGAAGTCTGGAAATTAAAGAAACAGTGCTCAGTGGCATCAGGCAGCCTTAGCCTGCTGCATTCGTTTCTAAGTAGATGGGAGCTTCCACAGGAGAACTGGAATGCTTGGTGTCTTGAGTAAAGAAGTCCCTTGTCCCATGGGAAGTGCTTGGATGGTTGCTGCTCATGCTTTCCTGAAATTATATAGGACTATTGATTTAGGGCCCTTACATATTAAAATAATTTAACATTTATCTGCCCGTGTGTCTTTGATGTGCTCCGGTAAGCTGGGAGCGTCTTTTTCAATCTTTGTTAGTTGGCACAGTATCATAAGCAGATAGACATTAAGTGCTGGAGATGCTGATTTATAGTTAACACAACTATAAAAAGCAATTAAAAGTGCTTTTGCTATTATAGTCAACTCCCAATTCCTTTGGCATATATTAGGAATTTGGTGTCATGGTTAATTCAGTATCTTAGATTTTATACAGTTATGACTTTTATTCTTTGTCAGTTTATGTCAATTAAAACCGAGAGCATTTATCTTAGAAAACTTGTACCTTAAAGTTAGTATGTTGTGGCCACATGGAAATGTCCATTAATAGGAAGCCCTGATTACGGTCAAAATAAAAAGAAATGGAAAAAAAAAAAAGTAGTTTTACTTTAAAAGCCTTACTTCCCAAAATTCTTCTGTTTGGAAGAAGAAGGGAAAAATAGACTTGGGGAAAAAAAGCATGTGTTTTCAAATGAGAGGGAATTGGAGAGGGACTCAAAAAAGGAAATGGGAAGTTTTGACTCTGTTTTTCAAAACCAATTCTATTTTTAGAAATGAAGACCCTTCTCCTTAGAGGGTGGGAAACTATTTCTCTATCTTGTGTTTCTGAATAAGTAATAAGTCCAAACACATTAAATTAGGTTTTCCTTAGGAAAAGATGGTTACTAACGACAAGATAGACACACGAGTCAGAAGTAGTTTTTTAGTGCAAAGTTTTCAATTTTTGAACGTACGCTATTCTTATCATAGGCAATTATCCTTTATTCCTTCAGGATTTCAGACTATTTTTCAGAGTCTCTGCTTTAATTTTAAAATCAAAGCTGTGGATTGAAAACGTCTTTATATTTTTTATTGCTTTCATTCGTCTCCAGCTTTGATTTAGTAAGATGTTGGTTTTAACTCCAGATTGAAAACCTGCCTATAATTTACCACCTAACTCTTTAGAAAGCTGTGCTTCTGTTTTCGATGTCCAATGTAGTCTGTATCTAAGAGTCTTTTATTATGATTTATTTGTGTTCTGCTTTATCATGTGCCTTTTCATTTCTTAGCCTTTTGGCTTTTTTCCTCCTGAGACAGGGCCGTGTCCTGTGTTGTAATTCCCCCACTCATAAATACTACCCCTGGAAGCATGAACTGGAGCTCTCTCTCTTTTTTTTTTTTTTATCCTCACCTGAGGACATTTTTCCATTTTTTGTTCAGGTAGAGTGGGAGGGAGAGAGAGGAACAGAGAGAGAGAGAGAAACATCGATGTGAAAGGAACACATCGAGTGGCTGCCACCCGCACAACCGACCAGGGCCGGGGACAAACTGCAACCGAGGTACGCGCCCTTAGCGGGAACCGAACCCGGGTCTCTCAGGACCGCAGGCCGATGCTCTAACCGCTGAGCCAAACCGGCCAGGGCTGAACTGGAGCTCTCTTAATTTTGATAGCAACCCAACCGATCATGAAGTTGACCATGTGGAGCTCTTTTAACAACGGGGAAAGATGTCCGTGATATAGCAAATGAAATAAGCTGTTTGAATATTCATTGTGAAAAAAGGGAGGAACACTCTGAAAGAATTCAACTGAAATTTGCTAGCTTATCTTCGGGTGAGATTGATGATGGGTGATTTTAATTTCAGTGAGCTTTTTGTTGACACCACAGAAATGTGCACGGATCCTAAGGGTACAGTGTAATGGATTTTTGCCAAGTGAAGACAGCCATGGAATCAGCCCCCAGATCAAGAACTACAACAGGATCAGAGCCCCAGAAACCCTTCCTTGTTCTCACATGGTCCCCGTGCACCCCATGACATGTGAACACTTGCCTGCTTCGGACGTCCCGGGTTAGGGTTGCTGCATTTGAAGTTTGTGGAAATGGCATCTCACAGAATGTAATCGTGTGCATCTGGCGTCTTCGGTTCATCTTGTGGGATGTGTGTGTGCGGAGTGACTCAGTAGTCCGTTCCCTCTCGCAGTGCCGTGTTCTACGGAACGCATGCACCACAGTCCATCTGTCTGTGCCGCTGTGATGGCTCCTCGAGCTGTTTCAGTTTTGGACTGTTACCAAGAGGGCTGCTACCGTGAACATTCTAATATGTGCCTTCAGTGTGATCTCATCTTAATTAATGACATCTGCAAGGACCCTATTCCCAAACGAGAGGGCTGTGTTGTGTCATTTTATTCTGATGTTTTGACATCTGGGGCTTTACTAATCTGAGAGACAGCCCTCGGGGGCTCACCGATTTCTACGGACAGCACACCTCGCAGTGCTTTCGTACGCCAGCCAACCAATCCAGCCTCCCCCCCCCCCCTCTTGCTGGCTCCTCCACTCCAGCTGCACTCTGCCCCAAGCCCCTGGGGCCAGGAGCCAGACAACTGAGGAAGCCCCTCGGCCTCAGAGCCCCTGAAAGAACTCAGACCCGCCCAAGGCTGCTTACTCGGCCTCACCTGTTCCTGCAACGGAAACACAATAGAGCTGATTGCCCTTGTGTCCCCGGTTCCTTCTGCGTCTTGACCGGCCCTGGTGCTGCCCGCGCAGGGCTGTGTGGCCTGACACGCCTCTGCCTGGCGCTGTGGGGGCAGCTTCTTCCTTCATGACAGTCATTCCCATGCCTGCCCGTCTTAACTGTACCTGATTAAAACAGGCACATTCTGAGATCCTGGGGGCCCGGCCTTCCACATCTGTGAGGGGATAAAGTTGAACCCGTGAGAGGCAAGCGTTTATTTGCTGATGTTTCATTTGCATTCCATTGTGGGGCGGTGACAGTGCTGGGACCCGTGGGAGTGAGTGATGAGCACCCTTGAGGTGCAGGTGCCCGGGGGGCTGTGCTGGCCGGTCAGCCTCACTGAGGTCCCTCCTTTGGGAGGCCGGGCGAGCCAGCAGCAGGGAGCGGCTTGGACTCTCTTTTCCCCTGAGAGGTGACAACACATGTTGCAATTCTCTGAAGATGTTGAACAGATGAGAGACTGTATCTGTTGATTTTTAGGAATAAGGTTGACTCCAAATATTCTGCTAACTCGATTCTTTTTCCTTTTTAAAGAAAGTGGGAGCCCGGAATCTCGTGTTAATGCTATCCATTTCTTGGTACACAAGCTGCCGGAGAAGAATAAAGAGATGTTGGACATTTTGGTGAAACACTTAACAAAGTAAGCCCCTTTCCTCCCTCGCTGCCTTGGTTGTGCTCTGGGTGTTGTGCGGTGTTCTGAGGTTCGTAACGGTCGAAACCGGGGTTGTATACACAGTACCAGGGACCACACCTGGAAAGACAGGCTGAACCTCTGACTCACTGTGTGTGTTTTGGATGAGGCTGCTGAAATCCGATGCTTTCATGAAGTCGTGTAATTATTTGCTTAACATCACTGCCAGTGACTTGGGGTTTGATTTGAAGCAAAAGAAGAGACTATTATACACTTCACTGTACATTGATTTTGGAAATGTGATTGTAAGTCTGTTGGCAAATTTAGCTTGGTTTCACACCTACCTAACTCTAAGTTTGAACATGTTCTTTAAGATTGTTTAATACAGCAATCGGTAGTTATTTCATAGGGTCCATTCTGTTCTTTTAATCCCCTCTTTAAAAAGGCAAGTAAATCTAATAGTCTAGTAGAGAGGTTAGCCCTTCCTTCAGATACAGAGGTTAGCCCTTCCTTCACTGTACTTACAGAATTTGGGGGGCGAGAGGAAGCTGAGGAGCCCTGTGTTTTAGAACCTTTATTTTACGCAGTGTCTCTGGCTTTCTAGTTTCTTTTTTTTTTTTTTTTTTTTTTTTTTTTTATCCTCACCCGAGGACATTTTTCCATTTTTTGTTCAGGTAGAGTGGGAGGGAGAGAGAGGAAGGAGAGAGAGAGGGAAACATCGACGTGAAGGGACACATCGAGTGGCTGCCACCCGCACGACCAACCAGGGCCGGGGACAAACTGCAACCGAGGTACGTGCCCTTAGCGGGAACCGAACCCGGGTCTCTCCGGACCGCAGGCCGACGCTCTAACCGCTGAGCCAAACCGGCCAGGGCTCTAGTTTCTTTTATGGCCTGTCCCGGGTTCTGGTCCTAGGACAGCCATTCATTCATTGGGAACACAAATAGTTACTGAATGGCTTTTTTTAAGTGCTGGTAGATACACAGTTGAACAAGATACTTTCAGGAAGTTCCCTCCTTCTAAGGGGAAAAGATAATAAACAATACAAATAAAAATATAAAATAATTTCAGGTGGTAAGTGATCAAAAGGCAAAGTGTAGCGTGAGAATATATGTTGGGTGCGGGACCACACAGTGTGATTGCGGGAAGTCTCTTTGAGGATGGGACCCTCGAGTTGCTGAGAACACATGTCCGGTTGCCCACTGGGCCACATGTGAGACCTCTGACCAAGTTCTGTGTGCTTGCGAAGGTAACTCTTCTAAGTCTCCCAGCTGTCTGGGGACAGGGGGGGTGTTCTAAGTAGAGGGGAACAGTAAATGTGGGCCTCTGAGGGATACAAGCTTGGGGTGCACATGGAATTATTAAGGCAGTCACAGTGGCTAGAGCAGAGAGGTAGGCAGGGACCTCATTATGTGTGGTCTTACTGGGTCCAGTCATTTTAGAGGGAGATACTGAGGACCATCGAGTCCTGGTTTTTAGGGAAATACAGTGTTGCAGAATACGGTACATTCCACAGTTTTCGCTCATCTTTTAACCAGAGACCTTTCTTTCCGCCCTCGTCAATGTCAGCGTTGCGAACCACTCCAAGCAGAACCTGATGACCGTGGCAAATTTGGGAGTGGTGTTCGGCCCGACTCTGATGAGGCCCCAGGAAGAAACAGTTGCTGCCATCATGGACTTGAAGTTTCAGAACATTGTTGTGGAAATCTTAATTGAAAATCATGAAAAGGTAAAATTGTTATTTTTTTTCCCCTCAAAGGAGTTGCTGTACTTGGCTTGTCACCATGGGATGTAAAGTCATTCCCTTCTCTCTTTAACATTATTGCATCGCGATGGTGAGCTTGGTTCTGAGAAATTCACACTGAGCTTCTTTCTTGTGACAGAGTGCCATACGTGACAGTATTTCTATATATCTACAAAAGCCATATTGCGGTGTTATCTCTTCATGCATGCGAGGCAACGGAAGGGTGAGATGTTAAGTTGCTTGAGGGCACATAGCTAGTAAGGGGCAGTGCCTGGGTTTGAACGAAGAATTGTCCCCCCCAATGGCTTAGTTTTGCATCACTAGAAGAAAGTAAGAACAATGTACTTGAGATTTTACTATTAGTAATAAATGTGAGCCAGAAGAGATGAAGGCAAGTTCAGGGTCTGGTTGCCAAGGGTTGGAAGCCTCTTCAGGGCTTGAATCCTATAGCATCATCCATGTCTAACAGACTGTATAATTCACTTATTTATTTTCTTAGTTGTTATCTATCTCTCCCTGCTAGATCCTTGAGAGCAGAGATCTTTTTTGTACACTGAGCACAGAATAAAACCTGGTACATATGTGATGCTCGGTTAATATTTATTGGTTGAACTAATGAACTCAACAAATCTTGAGGGGGCCAGAAGAGTGGGAAAGAGACAGTCAGACAGAGGGTTAGTCTCTTGGAGCAGAATTGCAAGAGTGTTTCTTGGGTCCTTGCTGCATTTGCTGTTTGCTAGGACGATTCTAGCTGAGCGAGTCTTGGTTCCCACGACAAAGCTTGAAACCTGGTCAGAGATTTTCTTTACTAGCATAGTAAAAGCAGCTTGTTTATGGGTGTGAGAAGTGTGTGTGTGCGTGTGTGTGCGCGCGCGCGTGTGTGTGCGTAGTAGCTAGTGGTGAATTTGTGCCTTCTTTTATGTTCCTATCAAACTGTCCTTGAACCTCAGCGATCCCATGGAATGGAGGCTACTATTCATTGTTTGAAAAAGAAGTAATAAGACTACAATCTTTGCAACAATGTTTAGTAATGCAACTATCATTACGTGAACTCCCAGTTAAGAAACTTTTATCCAGTTTCTTTGTGAAAACACTGGCTCTGGGTCTTCTCTGGGTCTTGCTCTCGGATAAAAGGATCTCCATTTATTGCTTTGGCTTCCTATGTTCTTGTGTCATTTGAGGCTGGGACGATAAAGACACGATTCTCCTGCTGGGAAGTAGATAGTACAGTTCTCACCTTGTTAACAAATCTTAGAGGAATTTCCAAGTGGCATTGCTGAGCCAATTATAATAGTTACAGCAGATGAAACTGGCCCCATTCTCAGAGATCAAGCTTTATAGAGCTAAGTAGAGGGAGGGTTCCCAGTTTCCCCCTCTCCCCTGCTGCGCCAGGCTGGATGATTCTGTGAACGCACAGCTGACATTAGGGCAGCCGTGAGGTGTCCTGCCAAGCAGGGAGGCTGGAGATGCCGAGTTTCAGATTCTTCACTGAGTGCGGTTAGCCTGGATTAGTGACTATTTCTGAGAGTTCCCCATAACCTCCTCTTTCTTCCCCACTTCCAGCCTTGTCTCCTTTCATGCTCACTCCCAGCCCTCTGTCCTGCCTGGGAGACCTCACTGGAGAGCGAGCCCAGGCTCTGTGATGAGGAAGCACATTTCTGCTGACCAGCGTGGTTGTTCAGGAAAACATCACACAGACAGATGTCTGCATCCATGTGAGCCCCAGGTTTCCTTGACGATGGATGTACACACACCACCCAAAGATCTGAAGGTCGCAGGAGGGCTCGAGATCCTTTTGGTAGCTGTTTGAGAATGAAAAGGAAGAGGGAGGAAGTCAGGACAGGCGAGGTTAAAAAAAAAAATCTTGTGAGGAAGGAGAGAGTTCCAGTACAGGAAGGAGGAGAAACTAGAAAGGAAATGAAGAGACCCCGGTAGGGACTATGAAGGAAAAGCAATAGACGAAAGATGTTCTTTTTCTCTGTTACTCATTCCCCCCCCCTTGGAATGGGGAACATGTTGACTGACTAGGAGAGTCACTAAAGCAGAAGAAACTTTCAACATATAATTAAAGCAAGAAAGCTTTGGTTTCATTTTGGAATTAGAAAAAGACCCCTAGTGAATCTGCTTGGGAGACACATGTTATCCCAGCCTCTGCTGTTTTCATAAAACCCATATGTGCTTATAGGAAACTTAACCCACATGCTTTGGCTTCATCTCCACATAATGCATTAAGATGTTATTTTAAAAGAAGTGTTCGTAGGCCAAAAATATTATCAAGGTCTTTTTTTCCCTTGCAAAGCAGAACATTGTATTTCCCAGGTGGAGAAGGACACTGTGAAATTCCCAAGGATCTTCACGTTGGGGTTGTGCCTTAGAATTTGTGAGCTTTGCATACGTTTTGTTCTCAAGGTATACGTGTCGTGGATTAACTCAGTACAGAGCTTGCTTTGAGTCAGACATGGGGTGAGAGTTGGGGGAAGGAAGACCGTGAGGCCAGGAGGGGAAAGAAGACATGACCAGCAGTCACTTCAAGAGAGTCAGAGCAGAGACAGAGAAGCTGATGAGACTTCACATGGAGTTTGTCCAGTGGTGGGGAATCTGGAAAGTGTCCTGGTTAGTGGTTTGACTGGGTTTGGGAATGCAGTTTGAATAGGTGGGGCTGTTTTAAGAGGACAGTTCAGATTTGGGGGATCATACAGTCAGAAAGGCACAGAGAGTAGGTGTTGTTCTGGGAACACGGCTCCTGGGGGAACCTGGGTAAGCGACACGGGGGAGACTGGAGTCAGGCCAGGTGCGGGGAGGTGGAGAAGGCTCCAGAGGACTTCGGATTTAGTTTCACAGGCAGCAGGACCTGTCGTGGGCTGTTTCAGGAAGCTCCATTCGGCAGCAGTGGGAAGCGGAAGAATGAAAGACCAGGAGAGGTCAGCGGTGTCGGTTCAGGGCCTGGTGTGAATGGGGCATCGGGCTGCAGAGCTCATTCTGTGAGGCGGACCAGACAGAACCCAGGGACTGGATTTGTGGGGCCTCTCCGAGGATGGGGTTATAAGTCATGCTGAGGACTCAGTCCAGGGGGAATATTGGTGCCATTAATAACAGGAAAGAAAGAAAACAGCGCAGGAGTGAGATGAGTTCATATTCTAAGAAGCTGGGTTTTCGCTGTGGTCTGACGTCCAGCAGACCGTTGGCGGCATGGGGCGCAACCTTGTGAGAAAATGCAGTGGTGGGCAGTGGGATATAAAGTAAAGAGGCTAGAGATTGGCAGGTGAATTCATCGGATGCTCATGGTATTATATGCTGTTGATCTGTTCTATAGGGTGTTTATCTCCTTCAACCCTAGTGTGTATGTGTGTGTATGTCTGGGTATATATTTTAAATATATTCAAATCCCATTGCATATATATGTAACAGTATTTCCATGTATCTACAAAAGCCGTATTGCGTGTTATCTCTTCATGCACGCGAGGCAATGGAAGGGTGAGATGTTAAGTTGCTTGAGGGCACATAGCTAGTAAGGGGCAGTGCCTGGGTTTGAACGAAGGGTTGCCCCTCCCCCCCAGTGGCTTAGATTTGCATCACTAGAAGAAAGTAAGAACAATATACTTGAGAAACACCGAGATTTTACTATTAGTAATAAATGTGAGCCAGAAGAGATGCAGACAAGTTCAGGGTCCGGTTACCAAGGGACATTGTCCGGGCGGCCAGGTGCCGCCATGAGGAGGGAGGTTACAGGGGCCGGCAGGTGGCATCGTGCTCTCCAAGGGGGAATGTCTGTTGAGAGCAAGGCCTGACACCAACCTGTAAGGGCTTTAATGAGTGTTCAGGAGTGGGCGACAGTAAGCATAGATGTGTTTCTCCCACACGGGAGAAGAATGTACAGGAAGAAGCATCAGGACAGACATGATGGGGAAGGAAGACCAGAGGAGGACTGAGGCATGCATGGCTTGCTCCTCACACTCATACTCTAATGACCTGTGAGCTCGCATCTGTCGTGTCTCTTCCCCGGTCCCTGAGGGCCCTGGGAAATTCTGCTGAGCCTTTGGGATTATCAAGGAAAACATTAATATCAGGGTCATTTTCTTTTAATATCTGCCTATTTTATTTTTTAAATCCTCACCTGAGGATACTTTTCCATTTATCTTCAGATAGAGGGAGAGGGAGGGCTCAGGGGGCTGGGTGGGAGGGAGAAACATCGACGTGAGAGAGACATCATTTGGTTGCCTCTCCCCTGACCTGACCAGGGCAACTGAGGTATGTGCCTTTGACAGGATTTGAACCCAAGACTCTTTCGTCCATGGGCCAGTAACTGCTGAGCCAAACTGTTCAGGGCTGAAATCTGCCTTATTTTATGTTAATACATAAGTTGGCAGTTTATACAAAGTAAGGTGTATATATAATGTTCTTCTCAGTCACGTTGCTTTACATAATGCATATAATAATATAGTTATAATCCAGGTTATATTTACCTTGTTAAGGATCTGAATTGGATTTTCAATGCACTATGTGGGATGTGGATCTCTGGGTTGATTTCAGCTTTGTATGGTCTTCAGTACACGCTGATGTCCATTGATTGTCTGATGGTCAGCGGGCTGTGACGTTCTTTCAAGCCTTTGTTACAGTTTCCATGAGCCACGGGATGCCAAGGGACCGTCACGTTCTGTTTACGTGAAGCTCTTCCAGTGAAGATTCTAATAAGTTTGTCCAAAGAAGCCCTTTAGCCTCGGAACCGGGCTCTCTGGCCACCTGTCTCCGTTTTCCTGGTGTGAAGGCGGAGGCCGTTCGTGCCGGCCACGCTCTGTGACGAAGGCTGGTGTCCGCGTGGCTTCTCAGAACGCGTTGGCTTCTCCCTGTTTGCCACATGTGGCCAGGCCCTTGTCCCTGAAGAGCTGGTGTCCCCTGGTCACAGAAGAGCCTGGAAAGAGTGAAGGGGAGAAGGGCGTGTATGTTCCTGCCAGGTGTCCAGGGTCATCACCAGAGTATTCGATGAA